CTCCAAAGAAAGCAATGGGTGTGTGCAACTGTAACTATACATAGCCACTGAAATATGGAAGCTTTATTTATTTAAAGCTACACAGAAGTAAGTTTCTGTATATAACTGAAAAAGATACATATGCATATTACAGAGGTGAACTGAGGTCTAATTATTCCTTACATTTATATAGCGCTTTTCTCGGCACTCAATGTGCTTTACACAATGGGGGAGAATCTCCTCATCCACCACCAGTGTGCAGCATCCACCTGGATGACGCAACGGCAGCCATTTTGCGCCAGACCGCACACCACACACCAGCTGATTGGTGGAGAGGAGACAGTGATGAAGCCAATTGATTATGGGGATGGTTAGGAGGCCATGATGGACAGAGGCCAGTGGGCAGATTTGGCCAGGATGCCGGGGTTAAACCCCTACTTTTTTTGAAGGACATCCTGGGATTTTTAACGACCATAGAGAGTGGGGACCTCGGTTTAACGTCTCATCCGAAAGACTGCACTCACTGAGCAGTATAGCGTCCCCGTTATTATACTGGGGCATGAGGACCCACACAGACCGCAGGTTGGGCGACCCCTGCTAGCCTCACTAACACCACTTCCGGCAGCAACCTAGCTTTCCCATGTGGGATCCCATACAGGTACTGACCGGGCGCAGCGCAGTGGGCGACCATGTGAGAGTTGCAGAGAGCTAGCTGCCAGCTATAATAGTCAGTGGTGATATTATCAACTTTAATGTCAAACAGTCTGGGTCATTTATAAGGAATGATGTGAGAAACAGGTTGAGATTTAGCATAGAATTTGTATAGTAAGTATGCATTAACTAAGCATACTACAATAACTACAATAAAAGCGGGTGGACTTGAAGTGTTACCGTACGTTCCCACCGAAAGCGGCGAGAGCGTCAAAGTAGCCGGAAGTCATTCATTTTCAATGAGAGGTGGCGGCGATAGGCGGCAATAAGCGGCGAGGAGCAGCGCGGCACGTCTTCGCCGGCATGAGCGTCGAGGAGAGTTGAAATGAAGTCAACTTTATGGTAATGAGCTATGAAACGCGGTTCGGCGGCAAGCAATCAGAATGAAGACGTCCATCGCTTGATAGCAGTTCAGAGAACACAGACCTGTGAACTTTGGTTCCGACCACAGTTGTTCCCAAGGGTTTGATTATTGCAGTCGCCGGATTTCCAATTATTTACAATTTTTTCCTACAGGAACATACATTAAATAAGTTACTGGCGAGTTACTGATGTTATATAAATTTATCTTAAAAAAGCTTCAGGATATTTCAGACATATGGACACATATTGGATAAATAGAGCGAAGCCACACCACACGCAACTTGATCTTCCATTGTTGTATGAATTTGATAAGAAGTGCGCAACATTTTCACGCTAGAAACATGTTTTATGCAGGAATGTAACTGATATGCTGCAACGGCTCCTTTAAATATGAGATCAATGTAGCGCAGGGGCGGACTAGCCATCTGGCATTTCTGGCAAATGCCAGAAGGGCCGGACCAATTTTTAAATGTGGGCCGGTCAGATAAAAAAAAAAAAAGTATTCTTTTTAAGTGTACACAGCTTTTATCTCTTGCTGGATGTGATATTATGATGATGATAATAAAATAATAATAATAATAAATGTGCATTTGGCCCAATCAGCAACTGCCGCCTGGTTTCAAGATGGGCCGACCCAATCCGAGGTCACACAGACATAATCAAAATCTGGCAAGAATGTCATACTATTTCACCATCTGTACACCAAAATAAATAGTGAATGTGCGTGTCCTTGGGTGTGGCTTTGTCGGTGTGGTAAAATGGGCTGGTGTGGCTACAGTGCCAGGGCTGACTTTTTGTCCCAGTCCGCTTCTGATGTAGCGAGTTTTGACGCTCTCGCCGCAGGAGCTGAAGGCAGATAGCGTTGTCGCCAGGGCGGCCAGAGCAACCTTGGACGCTCTCGCCGCTTTCGGTGTAAACGTACGGTTAGACTTCGAGGACATAGTAAACACTTTTAGAATAAACTGTTTTAAAATATGTTTAAAAGACCTTAACTCTATGGGTTTTTTTATTCCAAATAATTTTTTCTTTACAAAAATTGTCAACTGCACTGTTAAATTGTCACGAGCAGGTTCTTTTTTTCTGGAAATTGTGTTATTCTCAAAAAAATTCACCACATAGCCTAAATGCATTTTATGGAACAACTCTTATATTAGAATAAAAAAATTAAACCGATTTTTCTACCCGTAATGTTCCTATAAGGCCAAATTTTTCTATTACCTCATAAATACTGCATTCTCAATGAAACAAAAGAGGTTTATTTTAAAGTTCTTCATATAATACATCCAGTGAATAGTACTTAGGCAAATTATGGAGGTTGATGTTCATGCTCATTTTGTAAAACTAAAGATGAAACCCTAATTCACATATTTTAATTCAGTGTGAGAAAACACATTTTTTTTGGAATAGCTTATATCTTCATTATTACATTGCTTCTTCCGGAGTCTCCGCCCACAGAACGAAAAGAACACGGTTGCTATAGCAACTGTAAAATGCATCAGTTTGCGTCAAGTGCATGTTCTTAGATTTTCACCATTTGCATTGTTGAACTGACTTTAGATTGACTTGCTCTGCTGTTGTTAACACTTCAGACAAGAAAGTTATTTGCAAATAAAGTGTCTGCAGTTTCCACCACTGTAATCTGCGAGTTGTGATGGTGAATTTTGCTAGGATTTTGAATTTTGAATTTTTATCTTGAACATTATTCCAACATAAAATACAACAAAACATACATGATTGCTGGTGTAATTTTAAAACCCCAAACATTAAGATTTTGACATTTTTACTTTAATTTTGAGGTTTTTGTTGTTTAGATTAAACCTTGTTTATAACAAACTTTATCTTCATCTTCCTCATCACTTTACATAATATCCATAGCTGAGATATTTCTATCTGCTATATGCCCAAGAACTTTAAGATCTGTATATTCTGCATATGAAATTCAGAATGTATTATTCAGCAATGAATTAGTGCATCTTTATAGTTTTTATATAAAAAAAATCTGTCAGCATTACTGGAGATTTACTTTCAGTAGCAGATCTTGAAAACATTGTACGTCCTAATGGACAGACATATTTGAAAAAAATCTGATCTAAAGCTTGCAATGCTACAAAAGATTTTAAACTTTAATTAGTGAGTGCAATCCCTCTTTTTTACATAAAATCTATGAAATATTGGCAAACATAACAACAAATCTGAATGAAAACATTGTAAATGTGGCTTATGTCTGTGTCTGGAGTGAAGTGACGCCATGCTGCTTTTCAGTGTAGTGGTTCTTGTTCAAATTACAACATGCCGAATTTAGATTAAATGCTCAGGAACCACAAAAACATGGGCTTACATGTGATTTCTATTGTAATGAACACAGGTTCCGAAGAGGTAACTCTATAATGTATATGAAATTCCATTCCCAGCTGCTTTGTTTCCCCTTATCACTAATCATTTACATATTGTACTTTCTGCTGTGCTATAAGTGCTAACTACTGGAAGAGAGTGAATTTGCATTTATGTCAATTCATCCTGTCTATTGTGTTTAGGTTGTACAGGAATGTTAAATGTATTTTGAAATATTTGTTAAACAATACAGTTTGCTAACATTCTGTGAAAATTGCTTTAAAGTGTTAATATTTCATATTTCATTGCAGATCATTTTTTGGCATTTTGCATTTGTGACATAGACTGAAATGTATGCACAGACAGACCTGTCAAAAACAAGCAACCACTGTCATAGTTTATAGCTGTTGTAGCTGTAGTAATAGGCACAAATAAGTTATTTTCATTTGTGTTTTATATTCATTATACTTATGATTGATTTCACTTTTCTCGAGAAGCTGCAAGCAGAAAGGAGAAGAAATCCAGAAAGAAAAGGAGCTTTTGGAAGCTTCTCCAAGCAGCATGCTGCTGTAATGTTGACACTGTAACACCACCAGTGCAACAATGTACAGCGTCTCTTCAGCAACATCTGAGTTCTGCTGTGGGTGTGGATCTTTGCTCAGGTACACAACATAAAAAAACAGAACAGTTTCATCTTTTATAATATGTCCAAATCATTTTCCTCTGACAAAATGTTTTTGTTTAATATAAGCTACATTTTACTTTATGTAACCCTGTTGTATTAACACCATTTATGTGAATGCAGATACCAAAACAAAATTATGTGTATGTTCCTTTCAGTGGCGCCCCCAGAAAATTTTCTTAGGGGTGGCCAAGTAAGGCCACAACAAATCTTGTGGTGGCACACAAAAAAATATGAATTGTGTATATATTGTGAATAAAGAGTAATGTTATATTTTGTTTTTGGTTTTAATGAATTCCAATAATTACTCTTGAAATATTGTAATTTATTCCGCAAGTACAAGTGCAAACCAAATAAAAATCAATATTTAGTCTAAAACCTCTTTCAGGTAAGTTATTTCTTGTACAACATACAACATATGCCATGTCTAACATTAATGAATTATGAATAATGAATATGATTAATGAATGAATTAATAAACCAAACAAAACCCAACAAAATTTTGAAAAGCAGATTTCAAAATGCATCTAGTTATTTATTTTGGATTTGTGGTTTTCAATCAGATGAAACACAACTTTCTCATTTCAAAAATAATAATTTCTTAATAAAAAGTGTGCAATCTCAGTGAATCAGCTTCGTCAGTGGCGCTGATCAATCCACAATAATTTAGTGGCTGCATTTTATTTATTCATTTATTTTATTGAAGTATTGTGAATTTAAGTAAATACATTTAAATTAATAATATCAGCAACTATCATATTGGGGTGGCCACAGGGGTGGCCAGAGTTTACACAAGGGCTAGTATGGGTAACTGCAGCCTGGAGAAATGGGCGTGGTACAAGGTAGGGGCGTGGCAAAAGGTTTTTCATTGGTCGAATTTTTTCCAGTAGGGGCGTGGCAGAAGGTTTTTTATTGGTCAGGTTTTCTTTTCGGTCAAATGTTTTGGCCAATCAGCAATCATCAAACGCTTGCACAATGGCGTCGGTAAAGACGTGATGTTGACTGCTGTAAACAGACGTGTATTAAGATTTACGATTTAAACAGGTTGGTAATATGTTTAGGTGTCTGTTTTGTGTGAATATTTTGAGAGCCTTACACATGATACACACTCATCTGCAAAGTCCCAAACCTCGCACAGTTTATCACGAACGTAAGTACTAGTTATTTTGCGGTATGCATTTTAATATATTTTGTTTGGGTCGTATGTGATGACGTGAACAGCGATCTCTCATAGAAATCTGACACATGCCAATGTGTACGTGCAAATTAGCCTTATATATAACATTCATGTTTATTTTACATCTAACACTTGTCATTTATGAACATGCATTTAGAAATATAACAAATATGTTCACTTAGAGAAAAGAAAGTCCACTTAAATCATAGTATAAAATATAGGCTAGCTAGGAACATGCATGTACATATTTGTAACTCCAATGGTTGAAAACATAAGTGGACTTTTTTGCAACATTTCACAATATTTGTTGCATATTTTATGCAAGTAAAATTTAAATATGAATTTGTATGTCAAGTAATTTCATATTTTTCATCTATGCATAAAGGATGTTACTTTTTTGTTACATTTGAAACTTCTTATTTTAAACATGCTTTACTTTAAATGATTTTAATACATGACTTTTTTATGATGATTCTTGCAGATTTATAATTTATATTTTATTTGTTTACATGTTTATATACATTTTATAACATTACCCAGGACATTCCAATGTAGTGTTTCTCCAATAACTGTAAAGTCTTTGCTTATGGTAAGTTTTACAATGTACAATGACAACTGCATAATTTTAGAACTAAACATCTTTTACTTTTAGCCTTGTACATTGCTCCTGAGGTTGGGTTTGACTATTCTGAGGTGAGTCTTTGCTCAACACTTTGTTAGCCAGTATAAAAGAAGAATTTTTTTTATCTTTTTAGTAATTGTCTTTTTATTTAAAACAGGCTATATGACTTGCATAAGGAGATTGTGGTGTGGGTTCTTGCTTGAAGACTCAGGGTAAATAAAAAATCTTTTCATACAATTAAAGTGATGTCAGTAAGTACTTTGCAATTAATTTTTGTCTTCCCTCAAGGTCTCCTTAAGAACGAAAAAAGACACAGAAATGTATAGAGCTTATCTTGGGCATCTGTACTCTCAGTTCAATGCAAATATAGCAAGTTAACAAGTTGGTTATTTGTTTGAGAGATTTGTTTGATTACAGTTGGAGCAAAACTGTGCAGAGCTGCGGTACTCCAAGAATTGACTTTGACACCTATGCCTTAATAGAACGGGGTTGGACCCCATTTGCCTTCAGAACTGCCATAATTCTTCGTGGCATAGATTCAACAAGGTACTGGAAAATTACTTAGAGATTTTGGTCCATATATACATGATAGCATTACGCAAGTTTATGCAGAATCTCCTGTTCCACCACATCCCAAAGGTGCTCTATTGGATTGAGATCTGACTATATCATATCTAATCAAATCACCCCAATTTATCCTCCTTACATGGGCTGCCTGTTAAGTTTCGTATTAAATTTAAAATATTACTTCTCACCTATAAAGCTATAAATAATCTAGCTCCTGTTTATCTAACCAACCTTCTGTCTCGCTACAAACCAACTCGCTCTTTAAGATCTCAAAATTCAGGGCTTCTGGTAGTACCTAGAAGGAGGTAGAGCCTTCTCCTTTATGGCTTTTAAACTCTGGAATAGCCTTCCTGATAATGTCCGAGGCTCTGACACACTCTCTCAGTTCAAAACTAGATTAAAGACCTATCTGTTTAGTAAAGCATACACTCAATGCATCACTTAGCGGGTTTCCACACAAGTTTCTACATCTTGTTTATATACACTATGAACAGCAGCTACGCTAATTATTCTCTTTATTCTCCATTTCCACCTGGGGATACTCATCCCGAGGTCCTCAGATTATGCGGAGTCACTGATTGGACCCAAGACCAGCGACGAGATGATCCCAAGGTGTCCATATAAGGGACCAGGCCATATCCTGAGCTGCTGCTGCGCTGTTGGTCATAGGGGAGTGGAGAGCACGAGACTGATTCCAGTGACGCTCCAGGGACAGACGAGTCTTCGCTGAGGCCAGCTTCCAGCCCACTGCTGAGACTGCAGCTCTGCACAAGACTTTTGGCCAGCGGAGAAATTAAAATGGTCATGCCGAACTGAGTCTGGTTCTCTCAAGGATTTTTTTCTTCACCCTCCTATCTGTAAAGTTTTTTCCCCTCCCCGCTGTCATCACTGGCTTGCATGGTTCAGGATCTGAAAAGCTACTCATCGATGAATTTGCTCTTCAGTGTTTGGACTCTCAGTAATGATTTCAAACCACACTGAACTGAGCTAAACTGAACTGAACTGAACTTAAACACTAAAAACTGAACTACCCTGATCCAGTTACTATGACCATTTATGTGAAGCTGCTTTGACACAATCTACATTGTAAAAGCGCTATACAAATAAAGCTGAATTGAATTGAATATATAATATATTTAAAATGTCTCAAGCACTGCTTTTCAATTTACAACTACCAATGTAGCAGAAATCACTTTTTAAACTAAATTTTTCCACTAGATGGCAGCACAATACCATTTATTGTGGATTGCTGCAGTTGTAGGCTTGTTTTTTATTCTTAAAGTTTAAAGACACTGAAATTGCTGTGCAATCAAATTTACTACTTATTTAATCAAACTTACAACCTAATTAATTTACACATTATACTTTCCCAGTTATGGAATTACATTCCATCATAGTTGTGCTTTAGTGTCATCCTAAATGATGGGACTTAAATAGCACAAGTGTCATAAAGGCTCTTAAATGCTTAAAACTTGACAATCAGCTTGTGTTTGTAATTATCAAATATATGTGTATGTGTATATACATACACATTTCATTTTATATTTACAAAATATGTATACATGCATTTCCCTTCAGCTATGGATCCAGGAGGAGGTCTTAGTGATGTATGTTTAAATTTATTTTATTTTTTCAATTTATTTTATAGTTTATTGTTTTAGTTTTCATTTTTACATTCGTCATTTATTATTTTGTGTGTGTGTGTGTGTGTATATTTCGTCTTTAATTCAGCTACCATCAGACCTGTTCTGAAAGGTTCTTTTAGATGTTTATGATGAAGGGGATGGAGCATTCCTCACACTGTTACTTGGTCAAATATATAGTGGAGTTCAAGCTCTCCAGATGTGAATCCTGTGGTTGGCTCTACAAAAACACCATTGGATACTGTGGCAATGGGAGGAAAAGGGATGTACAGAGCATTCAGACAAGAGTTTAATGGCTTCTGCTCTATGCACTGCTACTACACGATGAATGGATGGATTGTCGTGAACTGACGGATGTATGAATTTTTAGTCAGTGGAAGGCATATTTTTTAAGAGATTGTTTTATTTGTTTTTTTGATAATTAAACTGAAATGTTTAATGAACTTGTGTCTGTGTTCTAATTAAACTGATTAATATCACTTAACATAAGTTAATAATGAGTTAACTTTGTTATAAATCTGTGATATTTGAACAATATATATTTACCCGACATAAAATGTATTTTTCAAAATCTTTTTAATTAAAATTATTTTAGGCAATAATTTCAGTGACACAGTTGGGAAACAACTAAGTCACAATTTAAAATAGTATTGAATAAAATGCTTTTCTAAGTAGTGCATTTATAATAGCCAGTAAAAAGAACCAAAACATATCATTTGTCTAATGATATTTAAGCATTTGTATCCTTAAGAATGCTGATTTAGCAATTATTTTAATGAAACTTGTGATTACATTTAATTCATTCTTTATTCTTAACACCAGTAGCATAAAGTAGAATGATCCACCCTTAAGCTAAACAAGCAGCTTAAGTATTATGTTTTTGTAATTGGCCAACGCATTTGACCGGAAATAAAACCTTTGACCAATGAAAAACCTTTTGCCACGCCCCTACCGGAAAAAACTTTCGACCAATGAAAAACCTTTTGCCACGCCCCTACCTTTTACCACGCCCATTTCTCAGGCTGCAGTTACCCCTTACTCCACAAGGGTGGCCGTGGCCACCCCTGGCCACCCCTTGGGGGCGCCCCTGGTTCCTTTAAGAAATACGTGAGAGGGTATTCAGCAAGCTTGGTTGAGATGACACAGGTGTAGTGGGAATGCTGTTATCTGATTGGGTGAATTAGAGAGTGTGTTTTTGCTCCTCCAATCGGGTGTGAAGTAGGGGCGGGAGAAAAAAGAAGAACCGGGAGAGAGGGAAAAAAAGTCACACGCAGTGCGTGAGTGATCGGGAAGTTTGTAGATTTTAGACCATAAAGTCTGTGATATTCCTTTTAAGTTCATATTTAAAGTGTTTAGCAGCACACACACGTTGCTATAAAGAAACTGAAAGAAGATCTGACTTGTGGAGTGAGTGAGAAACAGTTTGAGTTGTCTTTTTGCATAAGGAAAGTTCTTCACAGGACTTTACTCACTAAAATTGGTTCGAAACCCTTACAAACTGAAAACTGGATGTGAACTGGATAACGAACTTGCTGGAAGCATCACGGGGAGCAGAAGCTCATCTAACAGCAGTGAGTGTCGTGGGCTCAACCAGTCTGCGAGCATCGTTGGACAGCGAGTTTGGCGTTGGATGGTTTCAGGTTACACCTGCGTGAGCCTCGTTTTCTCATCTGATAATTAAGGTACCTTTATTTTGTTTGCTCGGTTGAGCGAAGGGGCCATTTGTTTGTTTCTGGGCCACAACGAACTCAAGCTGCACGTCAGGCCTGCAACGGGGTTTAGGTTTTTGTGTTTGTGTGTGTGTATGAGAGTGTGAGTGTGGATCCACATAGCCCTAAAGTGACTGGTCAAAAGGTTTTTCTTTCAAATTCTGTTATAACAGTAACGTTATTTCATTTGTATTGTTAAAGTCAAGTTTACGGGAGGGTTAAACTATTGTTTATTTCGTGTGTTTGGTTTATAGCAGCGAATTTACTATTTAATACATAGAGAGATAGCTTTAGGAAGAGATTTTAATTTATAAAAACACAAGGGAACAAGCATATACAAATTACTGTGTTTAGTTTAATAATAAGAAAAACGCATTGGTTTATTGTCATATTTTCAGTATTTTGGTATTCCTTAAGTGATTTTTGTCTTTCTGTGCTGCATCTGAGCATAGAATATAAACCTATTAGATGTGAATAATACACTTTTATTTTATTTTTTTACATTATTGATTGATATTGTTTTTTATTTATGTGAAATACCTTGAATACATTTTTATAGTTAATCATTGTGTTTATGGGTCCTTATTTTGTCTCTTGTTGGTATTTGAGTGATTAGTGAGTGCAGTACATAACTAATAATAGTCTATGTTAAACGTGTTCAGGTTAGTCTGACAATCAGTGGATATATTAAAAGTAATCTTGTGAACTCAGGCTCTTTTATCAGGTTCTTTTTATCTGGAGTCCAGGGGTAAAAGGAAAAAGGGTTACATTTATATACTTCTAATACATTTTGATGGACGATGTCATTGCTTGTTTTTTTGTTTTTTCAAAAAACGTATTTATTTTAATTACAGTCATCCTCACCCATGAAGCTCCAGTCAGCATTGTGTCTGACTGCATTAGTGATGCTCCTGAAGCTGCTGGTGATGCAGTCAGCATCAGTGATGTTGCAATCAGCATTGTGTCTGATGGAATCGCTGATGGCAACTAAGCTCCAGTTCACTTACACTCTGACTGGAGCGCTGATGCCGTTGAAGCTCCAGTTCGCTTCCAGTCTGAAAGGAGTGCTGATGCTGTTGAAGCTCCAGTTTGTTTCCAGTCTGACTGGAGCGCTGATGCTGTTGAAGTTCCAGTTCATTTCCAGTCTGAATGAAGCGCTGATGCTGTTGAAGCTCCAGTTCGTTTCCAGTCTGGCTGGAGTGCTGATGCTGTTGAAGCTCCAGTTCGTTTCCAGTCTGAATGAAGCGCTGATGCTGTTGAAGCTCCAGTTCGTTTCCAGTCTGACTGGAGCACTGATGCCGCCAAAGCTCCAGTTGGTTTCCAGCCTGACATGAGTGAGGACATCCCATCTTTCTATAATCCTTGCCCAGATACAAAGGATAACATGGATCAGAATGTTTGATGTATTGAATTAAATGTATTTTTCTGATTAGAAGTAAAACTAATTTAGTACTCTAAATTAATTTAGATTATTATTATTAAATTATTCAATATTTATTTTTTCATCAGTTTGGATGGAAGATGTCATTGCTGATTTTTATCAAATTTCCCTATTAAACTTTTACAGACATCTTTGACCACTATGAAGTTGGCAATCTGCTGGGTCAAGGAGGTTTTGGAGCTGTTTACGAAGGCCGGCGTGTGAAAGATCAATATAAGGTTTGATTTTTTTAATTCTGAAAATTGAATTTTAGCCTGTTCAATGACCTGAGGATTTGTTCATCCTTGTCATACCTGTTGCAAGTCTTCATAATGTATGCTTTGTCCAGTGAGAAAATTACGTTTTTAAACTGTCAGATGAACCAAATGTAATCTACATGATTTTAAACTAATGTTTGGAGTTTATATATACCTGTTATTGATAATTATGATTAATAAATGATTTAGGGATTAATAATTGGATGTAGATTGATTTTCCGCTTCTTTGTTTGTTTCTATGTTATGGTGCATTTTATTAATATTTGAAAATATAACCTTTATTTAATCATTATCAAACCTGTCTTTCTCTTAGCCATGGTCTGATGGTTGTCTCCCGATGGAGGTCGCCCTTTTAATTCTAGCAAATGAAGGCACAAGAATCCTCCAAATTATACAGCTGCTGGACTGGAATGATAAGGGGGACTATTATATCATGGTTCTGGAGCGGCCTGATCCCTGCAAGGACCTCTTCAATTTTTTCCAGACCCACGGAGGCAGACTCGATGAAGAACTGGCACAGCTTGTCATGTGGCAGGCAATAACAGCCACATACGTGAGTTGCCAGCGTGGTGTATTCCACAGGGACATTAAACAGGAGAACCTCCTATAAACAGGGACACACTAGAGGTCAAACTCATTGACTTCGGCTGTGGCGATCTTCTTCAAAGTGCAGAATATACAACTTTTATGGGTATGTGCAAAACAATAAGAACTCAAATCACTCAGATTTCTAAGTAAAATAGCATATTTTCTTAATTTATAGTGTGAATGCACTAATGATTTGAAGCACTAACATCTACATTGAAAAAAACAATTAAATGTGGAGATGAGAAAGTCACATGATGAACAGCTTTTCCAAAAAAATTCCATTAGATAAAACATAAAACTCTAATAAACATCCCTAAAAAAATAAAAAACACAAGCCAATTCTAGGAAAATCAAGGAAACTTACTATAAACCAGGTTATAGATTTTACTGTAGTATTTTCACAGTTTTTTGAATGTTAAAATCATGACCATTGTTTTTACGTGTAAATCTACTTCTTCTTACAGGAACACAAATGTACTGTCCACCTGAATTTAAAACAACAGGAAAATACCACGGGGAGCCGGCCACAGTATATTCATTAGGGGTGCTTCTGTTTTCCCTTGTGTGTGGGAGATTCCCTGACACCCATGACCATAACCTCATCAACCTTAACATTTGGTCCAAGTCTGGCTTGTCTGAAGGTGAGATCTTACAACAACAATGTCCAATTCTTCTAAATCCAACAAAAAATAGAAGAAAGAAACAGGACTGTGCAGCCTTGCAGATAATACAAGATAAGTTTGTAAATCAGTCAGTTTAGAATAGGTGTAAATGAGCAGGAATGAAGTTTGAGGTGATAACCAGTGTTTCTCTGTATTCTATCTGCACAGAGTGCTGCAGCCTGATGTGCTCCTGCCTGCAGAGAGACCCAGCAGAAAGAATAGATCTGGTTGAGATTCTGGATCATAACTGGTTTTAGGCCACGCTCTGTCACTGACCCAGTCTAGCAATCTTTGTTCCATCTACATCTACAAATCAGTGCACATGAAAAAAGAATAAAAAATATATTATAAAATTCTTTTGTTTTTTTCATTCATTCATTCATTTTGTTGTCAGCTTAGTCCCTTTATTAATCTGGGGTCACCACAGTGGAATGAACTGCCAATTATTCAGCAAGTTTTTTTTACGCAGCGGATGCCCTTCCAGCCGCAACCCATCTCTGGGAAACATATACACACACACACACACACACACACACACACACACACACACTACGGACAATTTAGCCTACCCAATTCACCTGTACCGCATGTCTTTGGACTGTGGGGGAAACCGGAGCACCCGGAGGAAACCCAGGGAGAACATGCAAACTCCACACAGAAACGCCAACTGAGCTGAGGATCGAACCAGCAACCCAGTGACCTTCTTGCTGTGAGGCGAATGTGCTACCCACTGCGCCACCTGTTTTTGTTTTTTTATATACACAAAATCATTTGTAATGATGATATATTCTTTTAAGTGTTGAATTATTTGACTTTTAATTGATTGTGATGCCATTTGTTTTAAATAAGTGTTTCCTGATCCTATTTTGCACGTCTTCCTTAGGAAGTTGTTTACTGTTGTTTGGGAAACACTGGTTTAAACAAATCCTTGTTAGCTTTAAAATACTCAAACTGCTACTTATTTCATTACAGCATGTGAGGACAACAAAGGTGGCTAGTGATAAATGAGGCTTGTTGACATTTTTAAGAATAAGCACACATCTTTTTACATCTATTTTAGATATCACCGGCTGCGTCTGCATTAATGCTGCCAGTATACTCACTTGTCAGTTGTTCATCAAAATCAATTCAACAAAAAAAATCACAATTTGAAAATTTAAATAGCAATCATTGCAAACAAAAAAATTGTGTTATTTTTATTACCAAAAATAACATTTTACAAAAACACATTACAGATATAAATGTAAGGTGTTTGGGGGTGTCTTGTTGTTTATTTTGTAATCAAGTCTTTTCTTCCTGCTTCTTCTTTTAAGCTTGTTGGAGATGACCCACACTATCCTGGAGGCACAGGAGGAGTTAGTCTGACTAGAAACCTTTCTTTGCTTTTCTTTGTGTGCGGTGTTTGGTGTCTAAAAAAAAAAAGAAAAAACATGTTATTTTGATTTGTTGCTTCAGTTTCCAATATCTGCAAGTAATTTACAGTAACTTTAGTTCACTAAATGAGTTAAGTACCTTAACAAAAAGAGAAAAGAGAGAAGGCGTAACTCTGCATAAGCTGGAGCAATATCAGGTATGTTTAATTTTCAAGTCCTAATGTTGATCGGTAAGTATTTTACCCTGCATGTTTACACAATTTTTTTACTGAGGAAAAAAAACAATGTTTCTTTTTAAATTGATAGTTTAAAGCCTTTTTCACTATTTATTCAGTCTCAAATATTTCCAAATTTGTTTGAATTGATCAAGAAACACAACATTTTGAAATACTGGTAACCATTGACTTTATACTGTTTGATTGGGCTCTTGCAAATATGTGCATGTATAAATGGTTTATGGAGGTGTGTGATTCTGTATTTATCATTGCATTTTATGCGTTTATTTATGTTTATTAGTTTATTTTGTCCTGCCATGGGATGGGTTTGGGACTTGTTCTATGAAATGTGAAAAGCTTTAAAAAAAGTATATACAAATAAATAAATAGACATATACTGTGGATGTTGCTGGTTTTTGTGTTCCAACAGAAGAAAGGAACTCATAAAGTAAAGGCAGAGAAAATGCCATTGTATTAACCATCTCTAAAGCCTAATTTTTTTTAAACTAAAAGGCCATGCTTGGCTTAATTTTAAAGAATTAAAATATATAGGGATTATTGTAAGTATTGAATTAATTCAAGTTAGTCACACTTTATATTTAAGGTACAACTCTTATTATGCTGATGACGTTTTGAGTGTGGTAAAATCGAATAAACGTACTTTTAATGTGCAATGTTAAATGTCAAGCATAGAATTTCCTAAGTAAATTTTTTTATTTGTATACATTTACTTCATGTAATAAATGAACTCAGTGAAAATAGCCAAATGTAATAATTAATCATTTTCTAATCAGTGTAAATAAAGCTAGAAATATGTTTTAATAATGTAACATCTGTTTATTTTAAATTGATAAACTTGTAAGAAAGATTTAATGTAATATAAACTAATGCTCTCTTTTTTGCTCAATTAGCAACTTGAATAATTTAAATAAATCAATAAATTAAAAATGAAAGATAATCAATTAAATTTACCTTAATTTATTTAGGATTGTTAGATTAAACTTTAAGTAAATTTGACATGATATTGACAAGTTAATTTTTCTTAATTTGCTGAATTTACATGAATTTCACTCATGCAAACGGTTACAAGGATTTTTAAGAGTATTTTTTTCAATGTATTAACATTCTAAGATTTTAACTCAAACTCTAAATTTGCTACTTATTAGTTATTAATGTAGTAGTTGCTTTTAGGTATTAGGTGGGGTTGGGGATGTAGAATAAGATCACGCAATGTACTTTAAATACAAATAAACAGCCAATTATAGGCGGTTAATAAGCCGCAAGTTAATAATGAGAATTAGTACTTTAAAGTGTTACTTATTAAGTATTCAATTACTCTTCATAGTAGCTAGAAAAGTAATATAAATAAAGCCTATTGGATTATGTAATTAGTAATTCTAACTGCATTACTAAAAAGCATAAATTACATTTCGTTGCTTACATTTTTGACACCACACCAAAATACCCACTAGATGTCAGTATAGCACAATAAATTACCCAAAAATTGTGCAGCTTTTGGCTATCATTGAATGAGTGGTCCAGAAATGGGATAGAATAGTGGATATGGTTTTCAGATATAATTGATCATTTAGTATTTAAATTTTGTACATTTCTTAAATTTATATATGCAATACTTTACAGTAGCGCATAATTCCTTAACATTCGTTATAATATTAGTTCTTAGGACCCCCCAAATAAATTATTATACAAATTTTAACTTTAGTGAATATCAACATTTATTGACACTTTATTCATATAAAAAGCTGTATCTGTTAATATATTTATTGGGTCTGATTTGACATGACACAATAATGAGCAGTTGCACTTTTATGAAAATGCTTAAGTAATAATAAATAAAAAAAATAATAATAATAGTTATTATTATTATTGGTATTTTTATTTTTATTAAATCTAACAAAAGTATTACTCGTTAATTAACCATTTGTAAGTAATGGAATTTAATTTATAGTGTCACAGATACACTTTTGAATAAATAAACAAACAAAAATATGCAAGAAAAATGATGGGATATTAATATGGACCTTGGCATTGCATTTCTTTAAATAGCTATATTAATTCATGGGTTAGCTTGTGATTTGCTACTGTATATACCACCCCTGCATGGGTTCTGTTTATGTTATACACATCGTTTTTACCACTTTGCATAAACCAACAGTACAAAACCCAAATGACCCTTGCTTCAAATTTTTCATTCATTTCTAATAAAACAAATCCATAACAGGTAATGCTTTGCAGAGTGCAGCTGATCTGCAGCTTAACTGCAGGATCTCAGCTTTCTCCCTAATGAGATCTGCTCTGAGAGGTGCAATACTGCTGCTTAAGAAAATTAAACACTGTTTTATTTATTTATATTACTGCATTATTTTTGGTCCTGATTCTAAATGAAGCAAGAACAGACAGCATCAGACATGACAATACAGAATTCAAATTCAAACAGACATTTACATTTAGTATTTTGTTAAGTATAAAAGGAAGAGGCCACAAAGAAGACTAAATAAATATAAAATGATGAGGACAAAATGTTGAAATGAATGTCTAAATGGGCATAGACAAAGTAGACAGAAATATGATATGTGATACATAGAAATATATACATATGGCATACATTTTTATATTTGGATTTCACACACACAGACACATACACACATATTACATGGTATAAATGCAATTTACATTTCAAAATATTGTAAAAATGACAATTTACATGTATCATATTAACCTCATATAACAGTTTCTACAGGATAAATGATGACAACCGAGCTGAATGTTTGTTGAAATCGAATCAGATACATCCAGAGGTCAGAAGACTTCCTCTAATGGGAATGGATGGCTGGACATTATGTTATTGGCTGAGTGCAGTCTTGCAGATTTGACACTTTTTCTGATAACAATTTTATGCTTGTACAAGGTGAGACGAGAAATGTGATGACAATAATCTCTTGGCATACTTAGAATAGGATCATTAGTGTTGTGTATGATTAATTGCGTTTGGGAAGCCAAAAACCAAATGAGCCTGACTATAATACAATGATTCAGGTGGAGATGATAATCCCTATTTACTTTATTCCAGTCAGCAGTTCTCAATCAGCAGGCCTCATCTGATATTTATACAGTTTCTCCAGTGCAGACTGAGCCTTAATGGTAAATTCTCTGGAGATACTGTGTACTAAGACAATTTGAGCAATTCCAGCTGCAGTGTTGAAGCGATTCCCCTTTGAGATTCTCTGCTTTACCCTGTCCTCTTTTATATAGGATCAGCCTTTTTCAAAATTCTCATTTAAAGTTTTTTTTTGAAAATACTGTGCTTAATAATGTATGCAACTTGTGAATTATGCTTTAAAGCTCCTTTTCTCCTGTTAGATTAAGTTCAAATCATTTTGTAATTTTGTTGTGATTAATAATATTTTTGAACAATATATATATATATTTATTAATTATTCCAGCCAAACTGAAAGAAGTAGGACTTTCTTCAGAAGAAAATATCAAAGTAGATTTTTGCTAACATTACCTAGAAGTATTGTTAAAATAATTAAAATTTTAAATGATTTCATCAAAGCCCTATATAGGGTTTGGGAAGATTACACGGTAAGCAAGCAATCAGTTCTCCTACTGTGTGGTGTGTTGGATACAGGACAAATAGGCTAATTTTGACAAGAACAAAATTATATGGCAAACGTAGCTGTGTATTTGGTGGCCATTCTTTGCATAAATTTACATTTTTGACCAAATTCATCCACTTTTGAAGT